TTATTACTTGTACAACGAACTCGTATGCTTGCGAGATTTTCACGTAACATAATGCTTGCCTTCAATAATGAGAAAACCATGAACTATGGCTCACCTTCAAGAATGAGAAAACCACGAGCTAAAGCTCGCCTTCAATAATGAGAAAAGCATGAGCTATGGCTCACCTTCAATAATAAGAAAATCACAAGCTAGGGCGCGCCTTAAAAAATGAGAAAATCATGAGCTAGCCCAAGGTGCAAGGACTTATGAGCCCATCGGTCCTTCAATTTTACCAATGTCGGTTGGGCATTCGGTCGGGCACTTTGCGATACTTACTTTCAGTAGCATTTGTAAACCTCAAGACTTAAAATTTTTTAACCTCCCGTAAGGCAATTTGCCGCAGTCCACAAATTATTTTATGGTGTTATCCTCAGAAATAAATGCAACAATTTCTTCACAAGTAGAGAGACTCGATAAACCAGCTACAAGAATAATGGAAACCACAACAACCAATTACATGACCCAACAGGAAGCGAACCAACACTTATTTTACTGAATGTAAAGCGATTATGGAAATAAAATTGAAATCATTGTCAAAGCATGCCATCAGCCTTGCTTTTAGGATCAATTGTATTGAAGTATAGAAGGCCTAAGAAAAGCATGGCGTGCTATCAACTTGATGCATTCAAATAAATTTGAAAAAAATACCTCTAGTGTTGAGCAAGGCATTCTATAGAACAGGCTTTGTATGACCATTTTCGATATCGATATTGTGGCAATTTTGCAAACTACTACTTCACCCAACAAAATCGACACAACTTTTGAAACCACCCAAATTTTGACTTCTCGAGTTGGTGAAGATCAATCAATTTCAGAGTGAGTTCAACGTGTATATTATTGAGCCGATCATAATTGATGTCGTGTAAACAACGAGACCACGTATAACAAATTGATATCGCTAACTAAATTAGCATATTCATGAGATCAGCATGCTTTGTAAAACTTTCACAAAAATGTAAGCGATTGTCAAATAGATTGTATATTATAATAGTTTAGCCAAAATTTTATCAAGAAAGTTTAATTTTTTAAGTAGTTAACACGAACCTCGAACGAGTTAATAATGACAGAACCAACAATTATCTCATGAACTTGAAAACAAACTTCTCTAATTCATATATCATAGTAGATCCATAAAATTTTGTTCACAAGTTATAGCAGATTGAATCCAAAATCTCAATTTACCACATAGATCATCAGGTGTGGCGAGGATCGATAACTCATATTTGGAGTTGACTAATTCTCAATCCAACACTATTCATAGGTCATACGCGACATCATAAATTTTAAGGGCTTATTTGGGATGGATTAAAATCAGATTAAAATTGAAAATATAGCCATTGGAGTTGACTTTTATTAGACGAGTGAGACCCAATAACGACAATATTTTCAATTTTACTTGAATTTAATCCTTCCCAAACAAGCTCTAAGTTCTAACATATGATCAGCATGATGCATAGATTAAGAGGGTTAAATTACACCTCATGTCTACAACGTAATATCATTTAACAAAAAATGTTGTATTAATTTTTTGAAATCAATACGGCCAGATATTTTGTATTGGTTCAGAATTATTTCAAAAAGTTCATTACAAGGGAAAATTTCGAACTACACATTATTGGTTATCATATAAATTAGGAATTTTTATTTTTTTTTTGTCATAAAATTTTCACTTGTAAAGAATATTTTGCCTCTAGCATATCAATGCATTATCATTTTCAATGATGATCCAACCTAGACATTTTAGCGAACAGATGGCGTGTGAGTCACATTTTTGACCTTACAACTTGATTTCGTATCCACCTACGAACACATGCTTGCTTTGATGCCTGTATGCATATCAAGCTTAGCATTATCAGATCCTTCACCAACAATTTTATCATCATCATCATCATCATCATCATCATCATCGGCCTCTTCCACAGGAACAGCCGGTAGTTGACACCCGGGAGATGCCATCATCTTCTCCAGTTGCTCCTCCTCGAACAATTTTTTTATTAGTTTTTTCAACTTCCTCTTCTCACGGCAGAATTAGGGCCCGCATATGTTTTTTAGGCGAGCCTCCAAATCAACCAATTACTGCTTCTCCAAATTTTGATTTGTCTTTTCCTGCAACTGATAATGGTAAATTACCAAGATTAGATCGAGTTTATGTTTGAATTAAATCATTCAATGAGATCAAATCGAGTGCGCACATCAAGTCTGGCGAAAATTGACGTTGGCAGAAAAATCATCTAACTGATCATTCTTGTCATCTTCCTCGTATATTTTAGAAAATTATTTGATCGACTTCCCTCACGTGATTTCTCCGAGGTTAAGCGCACCAATTCCCACAGACGGCGTCAATGATGCTACCAAAAATCATCATATGTTGATTCTCGAGCATGACGATTGAGAATGATCACGAACAAGACATCATGTACCTGAAATAAAGGGATCGAGTTGTGTCCTCGTCGTCCCTCCGATACTTAAGTTAGCAAAATGGAAAATATAAGCGCAATGCTATAACTTGAATGTAAAAATATACCTGAATAATGAATTGAAACTTGTATTTATAGAGGTAAATTGCACACAGTTGATAGGATTATGATACTTGAAACCTTATCTGTTTAAGAGATATAAAAGATTTGAGTATTTCAATATAAGTATGAGTTGTAAGCTAGTTAGAATCCAATCTTATTAGAGTTGGATAAGTTTGAAGATGGAAGTAGAGTCCTACTAAAGTATGTCTTTTAAGATGGAGAATGGGACAAAGGTAAAAACTCGAGGTAACATGGAATCGTCACGTGTGGTAATTAAGCCCCACGAGAGAACTCGAGGAGGATACCTTGGAAAACTCCCAAGATGATCGAAAACAACCTCGGTGCATTGTTGTTCGGGGTTGATCAAAGAATTACCATATCAGAAAGAAAAATCAAGGAAAAAATATAAAGTCTAAAGTTTAAAGACCAAATTGAAAATATTCAATAGTTGATTCAGACCACAAGACGATACTTTGAAAATTTTCAAGAGATAATTGGATAGAAATAGAACTCAAAAAGAATGAAATATTATCAAAATATTATCAAAATCAATTTTCAATCGCACAAGTTATATTCTAAATTTTTAATCGAAAATTGAGACCTATTTTTTTGGCATAGTAAACGAGTCCAAATTGGAAAAATTCTACTGCTAGAAAAGTTGTAACTCTTTGAGTTAATTTTTCAACGCACTGTGTGTTGCCTCAATCATATATCGAAAGAGAAAGTTATGGTCAAAATACTGATTACTGTGCACAGACAAAAAAATCTGTGCGCGAAGTCAACTTTCCTTATTCGATTGGAACTCTTTTGAAAACTAATTTGGACGTGATTTTCAACCAATTTTCTACTCCTACAAATACCTAACAGTAGAATATATATTAGAGACCATGCACATACATCTCATACTCCAATATTCTTCAATTATTATCATCAAATGAAAAAAATTCATAATTTTGTGAGAGAATTGAAGGGGATTTGCTATGATTTAATCAAGCGAAGATTCAAATTTGATTTTTGGGCAAAGAAGAGAAGGGGCAAATGGAGATTCATCAAAAAAACCATTGAAGAGATTCACGATTTCAAGATTCATCTTCATCTTCTCAATTTATCAAAAATTCGAGTTATGTCTTTTCACTTAAATATGATTTCTTGTCATTTCGATATGTTAGACTAATTTTGTATATTGTTAAGATGAGATGGACCATTGTTATGATATTTTTAGTTTTTAACTAAATTATTTTTAACTTTAATTTGAGTTGATTTGATTTGTGAATGTTTATTATTGTTTTTATCGTTCTTTTCAATTGTTTGATTACCAATTGAATTATTAATGAATTTTATTGTTATTGAGAGAGACAATAGGGTTTAACTACAATATAATAAACATTGTAATGTTCAAAAGAGGGTAGAGATATGCATCTATGTTTTATATAGTTTCAATATGTGTTTTAATACTTGTTAATGCATTTATCATGTTTGTATCTTTCATCAAGAGATAGAAGGGTTACATGAGGAGAATATATTTGATTGCTATCGAGAAACGCTTTCAATTAAATTAGGAACATTGATCAACATGAACGATTTCAAATTATCACTTTAATTGTTACACTAAAAATGAAATAATAAGGAGGATTTGACATCTTCGGTAAGCATTTCACATATTTGAAAAACACATTTACTTACTTTTATTAGTTTAATTGATAATTTAGGTATCATTATAGAAAAAATCACAAAATTTGTTTGTTATTCAATTAAAGTTATGATTAATTTTAACTCAGTCAAACATATAGTCCTTGTGGGTTCGACACTCTATTCACCATTATATTACTTGACCACGATCTCGTGCGCTTACATGTTTTCAAGTTATCAAGTTTTTGGCCCTTGTCAACAATTATATTTTAACATGACCAATTACTAGTAAGTACTGGAGTCAACA